TGGTTCCTTGGCTCAATCTGGTTTCGTCCTACGTCTGCAGCGTTTCTGGTCCGGATCCTTACGAACGCAACCTTCAGATTCTGGATACAAACCACTCTGGTGTAGCATGCTAATCCAAGCAATCAATACAGTACATTCCTTCTGGTACCGTTCTACGTCAAAGACTTTTGGTGGCAACTCGAGGACCAACGATCACTTCCTGTTCTGCCAACGCCTTCGTCCTACAATTGCACGTTTCGCGATCAGTCCCACGAATGAAACCGCTACGTATCGAAAGTGTAAACCCTTTCTAGCGGGGGGCTCCTGTAGTGACCGGCCAGTCTCGATAAGAACACGATTGGAATAACAGAAACAATTATTATTATCGTAACCAATTGTACAAGAGATTGTTTTACTGTATTTGTTTAACTGTATCAGTTTTACTTCTGCTTTCGCTCTCCGCCTTGTTTGGTTCGAACTTGCTCACGCACTGCCTTTTCGCCTGTACTCTTTGGCACGTCTCGGTATTATTTCGATACCACGAGATCGCCAATAAATACAATTGATCTGGATTAATAAAGTCTTCTGATTTACGGGCTATCAAGGGAACCAAGTCATATTTGTATGCGTAATCGAATTGTAGTGGTGATCATAGTCCGTCCACGACTCGACATCCACTACATAACTATCAGTGATCGTAAAATAATTCTCTTCACTCTGCCGTTTATTGCAAAATATAACAAATCCAAGACAGTAGCGACGCGTTTTCAACATACAGACTATGAACATGATGAATAGGAAAGCTCTCTGTTTCTTATAAAGCGCACCGACTGGAGTAGTCTGTTTACCAGTGATAAGCCTTCAGAAACATTACAAATCTTCAACATCACCACAGAATTCGCCCTAGGCACTATTATCTCTAAAATGGCTTTTAAAAATAACTCCTTATATCAGCCAAAAATGCAGGGCTGAGGTACCAAAACTAAAACGGATGTATCGTATATCAAAAGAATTCAATGCCTTGCACCAAATATACTCTGTAATTGAGGTTTTGGAATGTCTGCACGAAAAAATCATAAACAAGCAGAGGAACGTACTGTGCTTACTAAAGCACCTAGATCCAAAAACATATGTCATCTTAAAAAGCCTATAAGAAAGAACAGATCACAACATTGACTTTATACTGTACGATGGTGTAACATATTATGACAGAACTGTCATACATAAGCCTCACTTCCCAAATATTAATATAAAATGCACCAGCAAAAATAATAATAATAATACTATAGTGAACGAGAATATCAGTTGGCACAACTAAATTTATGTCAACACAAAATTACAAAATCTCTTAGTAAAACCTGAGAACCACACAGTAAATTCAGCATTTTCAAATTTTAATCAATTGTGTCCCGCTACACACAAAAGATGCTCTAAGCCTAACTAGCACTGGCTTTGCATGTTCTGCTGTACAGATAGAACGTTACTAATCCAAGAGGCTATGAGCCTATTAGCTTTGGCCTGTAAAACAAAAGATAGTTTTTGCGCTAGTAACACAAGTACTAACAGTGAAGAATGTGTCAGTGTTGTACATGCTGTTACAGGACGTGTTAAATACCCTACTGTGATTGACGGAAAAGTGAAATTTCCGTTAAGGCTAACGGAATCACCACTTGATATTGACCCAAATAGTCATGCATCTTCAGTGGAAATTGAGGACCCTCATAAAACCGTCGCCGTTTCAAATAGTCCCGATGTGGCTGTCCTGAATGATGAAAAATGGACGGCAGTGCGGAGGAAGAGAAAGCTGAAGATAATACGCACTTAGTTGGCAAGTCATTGAGGAACTCGCATTCTGAGTCACTCCATGCACTACCACACTCTGATAGTAAGGCAGAACACCACCCTTGTGTGACCGAGAAGAACTTAATCTCATCAAATATTATTGCGAGTAAATTGACAGAGTCAAACGATCCAGATCCTCAAATTAAACACGCCCATGATTTGGAGAGGCTCGGAGAATACATCCGTGGCATCTTACCAGATAACTCTAAAGGAGTTCAGGTCAAAATATTGGTTAGAATAGGTAAGAGGGCCGATGATAGTGTTCAACCCCGACCATATAAACTCTTCAAGGTAATCCTAGGGTCGGAGAAACGACGTGATTTTTTGTTAAGTAGCCCTCGTAGTCATGACAGTTCTGACATTCAAGTAAGACCTGATATGTTTCTTGAAGATGGAATAAAAAGGAAGACGGCACTAGCTATACTGGAAACCCGTCGACAAAACGATGAGGATAAAATCATATGGAAAACTAATAATATCAGTGTATAATTTTCAGTTGTGATGTACGAGGAGGCTGGAAAACTGGAGAAGGCCAAATCAAAATGTGGCACCAGTCAATTAAGTCATTGGCAACTGAGGATAACCAATTATTGGACGTTTTTCTTTAAAAAAAATTACAGTACTTCAACCTCATTAAAGATCTGGGACTATTCGAAAATGTCAAATCAGCAACTCGTTAGAGTAACAGTCAGATGCCGTCGCACTTACACTGTGTATTTACAAACGAATAATCCTTAATGGACAACCTGTCAGTCTTAGCTCCCCTGGATTAAAGTTTTCATGCCGTATTAACCTCCAGTTTTATCTGCACACCTGAGCAAAGGCATTCTGCCAACAACAAGTGTTGGATTTTCAAACGGTTGAACGTGTCAGCTTTACAGGAAAATCTACGACAGATTGATTGGGCAGTTCACCCTCAACTTGATGTGGATGTTCATTAGGATTTTTTACTGCACATGATCTTATGACTTAGAAAGCAGTCTGTTCCGCAAACGGTCCCTGAAACCTACAAGCAACCTACAATCATAAAGGACCACATTTCGGTTTTTAAGACGCGAAAGACATCAATGGGAGGAATACAAACGAACTAGGAACAACGGCGCATACAAGCAACTCAAAGAAGAAACCAATTGCACAATGGCAATAAGAGAAGACAGGCTTCATTACCAGATAAAGTTTATCGATAAATTTGTCTCCAATCCTCAAAGGTTATTCCGTCGTGCAGACTCTTTTGACAAGCCAAAACTGAAGATTCCCAAATGCTAAGTCCTAATGGCCCGACAAACAACGACAGTGACGCTGCTAACTTTCTGGATAAACAGTACTCTCGGACATTTCAACCGACCCACATTAACTATATTGATGAAAGCTTCATCTGCACAGAATTTTCCCAATTAAACCTCAGTGCTGACCAGGTGTATTGGAAACTGAAACACCTAAAAGAAAACATTTCTCCTGGTCAGGATATAGTTCATTCTGCTATACTGAGGGAAGCAGCTCCAGTCTCGGCAACACCGCTTAGCGTGACGCTCTCACATTCTCCAAGCCGAGGCACAGTACCAGAAATATGGAAGCTGGATCATATCACACAAATTTTCAAAGGTCAACGTAGCGAACCTTCAAGCTACCGATCAGTAGCACTTCTCTCTATACCCTGAAAAATGATGGAGTCCTTGATATGCGATGGTATGTAAGACTATTGATTATCCCTTAACTTCGTTTCACACCGACAACACGGTTTCACGAAATATCATTCTTGTGCAACCAAAATACCGACTGCGGTGGACAGACGGACAAGCACCCTTGATTGCAACGGGAAGGTTGGCGTCATTTACTAGGTTTCTCAAAAGCCTTTGATAAGATCAACCATATTTGTCCTAACAACAAGCTCGAACGATCAGGTATCAAATCACATTTAACTGATTGGCTCCCTTTTTCTCTAAAAAGAATATACATTTTAAGGTCACTTAACCTTCACTTTCAGGCCATGAAATGTCCTAGTGGGTTTCCCCAGGGTTCAGTGCTGGAACCTCTTCTTTTCTCGATTAATGTAAGCGGTCTTTCACAGCGGGTATTGTCAGATTTATTGCTTTTCGGTGACGACGTAAAACTGCGGAAAGACGTATAGAACCAAGGCGATAAACTGGCACCTCAAGACAATCTGACTCAATTTCAAAGCCAGGCAGATAACAACGGACAACACTTCAAAGTGTAAAGTGGTCAATCTGAGACATGTTGCAGACCACAGCTACAATTTATGCAATTTTCCTCTAAAAGCATCTGAAGTTGAAAAGATCTAGGAGTGTTGGTACCCTACGATTTGAAGGCTTACGCTAACTGCGACAAAAATGCCTTCTGAGAAAACCTTCCACTGGTAACAATGAAGCACATTTTTGGCCAGTTCGACAGAAGAACTTTCTACATAGTCTTCAACAGTTTTATTCGTCTCCACTTAGAGTACAGATATATAATATTTCCTCCCTCACTCCAAAAGGATAGGACACTGAAACGTATCCAACGGCGAGCCACAAAATCAGTTAGAGGACTCACATTCAAGTCTTATGAAGAGCGCCCCAAATCACAGAACATTTACCCATTAGAGTAGCGGCGTTTTAGATGTAACCTTTCAGTGGCTTACGGCATCTCAAACACTTCAAGACATCTCCCTAAACACCTACTTAAGCTTAGTTTCTACACAAAACTTAGGGCTAACACTCAGAAAGTGGAGACTCAACACAGCAGAACGGACTGTGGACATACTGTCTGCTCCTTAACAGCAGTCAAGTGTTGGAATTTTCTGACGGCCGAGCTAGTCCAACCGACTTCCTGGGAGTCCTTTTCGAGAAAACTTGACATATTCTTGAGGACTAAGGGCAATATCTTACCATGATTTACCAATTTTTTCTTTTGCCTCTTATATAGATAAAATACATAGGTTCCTGCCTGGAGGTATCGGTGATCCACTGCCACTAGATACAAAGGGCCATTAAACGAAGGCTTCTTCTGTTTTATCCATAATCATTCGAAGCATTTGAACTCAAACTACAATATATATAAACCAACAATCAACTGCCATATTGACTTACATTGGCCCAGTCGAGTAGCCAGACCACCATCCATTGAAAATATATAAGTACCTGGAGTTGTACCATAAAGACAGGAGGCGAACACAAAGTAGTCTATTGTTCAATACATGTTTGATATATACATATTGTACATTGAATATTGGAGGGTCATTCTCTTCGTGGCAGAGTACCAAACCTGACGGTTGGTGATAATGACTAAGCTGATTGAACTGAAACAGGATGTAAGTTTCCATGCCATCAGTGAAATTGTTGTTGTGGCGTATTAAATATGTATAGTGTGGCCACTAACACAACTCAAACCAGAAGTTGAGACGAATCAATTATTGATCTGACCTGCCACATAACCTGTTCGCATTATTTATTAACCCTTTTGTCTTTTATGCAAGTATTTGGTACTATGTTGTATATTAAACCGCCCTGTTTTCTCTTGATGACTTACCGTACTGTTTCCTAACTTTCAGGGTGACTTGGAAAGTTTGCTAGAGCAACATAAGAATAAGTTGGTTGTGGTTGATTTCTTTGCCACATGGTGTGGCCCGTGTAAAACCATAGCTCCTCTGTTCAAAGAATTAAGCGAGAAGTATGATGCGATCTTCGTGAAAGTTGATGTCGACAAACTTGAAGTAAGTAATTCTAAGATCACTCTAAGGAACTTAGTTTACTGGTTTTTTTAAGTCTAGTGAAATTTTTCTGATGCTTTTACTATTAAATTTGTTAACGCGCTATAATGATGTGATATTATCTTTCAGGAGACCGCCAGAAAGTACAATGTCTCGGCTATGCCAACGTTTATAGCCATTAAAAATGGTGAAAAAGTCGGGGATGTTGTTGGGGCTTCTATTGCTAAAGTTGAGGACATGATCAAGAAATTCATTTAATATCTTTGATCTCGTAAACCTTTGGATATGATTGCATAAACGTGTGTATCTGAACGTTTCTATTTGAATGATAAATTGTTTTCTTACATAGTTTTCCTTCTCGAATTACATCTTGTGCTTTTGAAATAGGTGAAGTACTGGGCGGTCGTTGGACTCCAACTACCGTCTGATCAAAAGTTGAAGCAATCATACAGTGAAACTGTTGGTTTATGGATATGTTCAAGTATGACTAGTTTCACGTAATCTGTAGACAAAATCTTTAGGTTGACCATAGCTTCTGTCTTAATATAGATGCTTCTCTAGACTTTTTTCTACCATTAGTCCATCAAAACGTACTTCATATAAGTGAATAAACAGCTATAGAAAGTCAGAAATTTTTCAAAGGTTTTAGTTTCATCGCTCCGCTGGTCATCATGTACAGAGATCCTTGGTTGATTGCAACTACGTGATTGTGCAGAGTCGTGTGAATGGCACCTAACGTGCAATGTTCGTCTTAGATACAATGTAGATCAAAAGTATGGAGCGTTCTCTACAACAGCTTTGACGCCATGTCATGCTTACTTAGGGTTGTACGCTTGACATGTTTAGCAATGTCAAATATCTTCAGAACTTGGTAGGTGTAAATATCCACTGAAATATCTGACATCTTTTAGACACCAGGTAAATATAGTGTCATGTGACGCGTCATTTTCGTTTAGTGGTCAAAAACAGGACCATGAAGGAACTCCTAATACGGCTTTCGATTGCAGCCCTAAAATAATACTTTTTGATGCATATCTTGGGCTACCAGAACTGGACATGCTCCAAAGATGTTTGTGTTGCATTGGATTAGTTTTGTGCTATGAACAATGCATAGGATAGTTTGTATTAGTCTTGCATTTGAGAGGTGGTTTAACGACGTGTGGAGCTAAGTTCTGTTCAGGTAACACTATCGTATGCGTCTGTGTAACACGAAAACCCATTTAATGATTTTAAACCCACGTTTGCCATGTCTGGATTACTTGAAAAAATAACACCAGACTAAAGTTATTGTGTAGATAGCGATTATACGTGGTCAATTCAGTTATTTCTGCCCTCCGTCAGCTCTATATTAGTTTCTTCCTTTTTTTCGAATACTATATGAAGTTTGCAACGTAGTATGCTCAAAATAGCTATTGGATGACTGCTTCCACAACTATGACGCTATTGATGTGACTAACTTGAAGAGTGCAATCTAAGTATGTAACGCGTCACGTATCTCCTATTCTACAGTTCTGAAAGTTTTTCCTGCCTTTTGGTTAATTGACATGTCATTGTGTGAACTGATTGATTTCTGTGCTATCGCCTCATGACGTATACTTCCAAGTCTTTGCATCGATTAACAGCACTCTAACTAGTCAGATTCGGTATTTATTTAGGAACCAGTGTCCCTAGAGTTGTTCATGGATAGCAGATGCATTCCAAGTGAGGACCGGAGTCAGACAAGACTGCCTACTCTCCTCCTTTCTGTTTCTTCTGGTGATTGACTAGATCATGAAAACTCCATCTCAGGTTAAGCACGGAATACAGTGGACAGTTTGTATTCGGCTAGACGACCTGAACTTCGCGGATGACGTGGCCTTTCTATCCCATACACACGAGCAAATGCAGATGAAGACAACTAGTGTAACAGCAGTCTCTGCATCAGTAGATCTTGACGTACAGAAGGGAAAAACCAAGATCCTCAAGTACAAATCAGGGAACAACCCAATCACACTTGATAGCGAAACTGTGAAGGAAGTTGGAAGTGTCACGTATCTGGGTAACATCATCGAACAAACCAACTTACAGCTGGGAGAAAATTAGGAAAAGACGCTGGAAGTGGATTGGATACACATTGAGTACTCATCAAACTGCATCCTCAGGCAAGCAATAACTTGGAATCCTAAAGCGAAAAGTAAAAGAAGTTTCATACATATAGTTCCCTTTACTATCTTAAAGAGAGCAAGAACGAAGATTGATGCAGAATAATATAAATTCATCCTATTTCGCTAGGTTTTCATCAGCTGCTTACAACCCATAATATTTTAAAATCAACGTTAATACAGATATTGATATACTTACACATACGAGGGTGATTGAAAATGAATATGTGTGTCATGATGTAGCAAAGATTTCAATAGATTTAATAAGGTCATAACAGCTTTGTTTCGGACAAATAAAGTTTGGGAGGGAAAGTTCTAGAATATTGAAATAGCGATTAGAACTCATTTAGTTAACAAACATTTGATGATTGTGTAATGACCCGACCGTTACTGCTACCTTGACGTGGTGGTCGGGCTTGCCTATCGTGATGATCCAATCGAGCTATGCTGGCTGGAACAATCGTTCCTCAAGGTCCTACCATGCCAGACAGGTCGGTTGAAGAGCGGTGAGACTAAAAGCAACAATCCCAAGGTCCGAAGGTGAAGTCGTACTGCTGACTGTACAGAGTTGTGAAAGCAGTAAGGTGTTTCCTTCAGACAACCAGCATGACAGCGATGCTGCCTTTCCACAAGGAGGGATGGGGTTAGGAAAGGTCGACCCTAAAAATGCACACCTCGCCCTATCCCACAGATTTCCGTCTCCGGCGGTAAGGACTTTTGAAGAACGGAGCTAACACGTCAAAAATCCCCCACAAAAAGGCCGTGCGTGACCGGCCTCAAGCAGTTGTCCCTTGGGCACTGCGGTCACGCTCCCAGGTCGTTAAGACCAACACTAATCCAACTTCTTTTTCAGGTCCCTCAAGAAATACCCTTCCACGGTGTGGGCAGCCGGGAAGTGATACTAGCCCTCATACCCTTAACTGCACACGAGACCAAGTTGGTCACTTTCAAATCCTTCCTACACCTCCTAACAACTCTCTTATCTCCTCGACTAACCCTTCCCACGTCCTTTTATCACTTCGCACCGCTAAGGCAAACGATTCGAGTACACAGAACGTTATTCCTCGTCTCCTGAAACCTCGCTCTAAACTACATATAGGAACTTTTAATGTCCAAACATTGTGCCAAATAGGACAACAGGCTTCCTTAGCTAGGACTTTAGAATCTTGCACCATCGATGTGTGCTGCGTCTCCGAAACGCGCATACAAGATCCGAGTAGTGTTATTCATTTGACCTCACCTAATCAAAAGAAAGACTCATCTCCATACTCGCTTCGTGTATCTGGAAGCCCTGATGCTGCTTCCCATGGCCTCGCTGGAGTAGGTATAGCATTAAGTCCTAGGGCAGAACTAGCTCTTTTAGACTGGATCCCAGTAGACAGTCGTCTATACGCTGTCCGACTAAACGGATCAGTAAGGACCCGGAAAGATAGGGAAACCGGTCGTTGCCTCTTCGTCGTCTCTGCCTACTCTCCCACTGACTGCAGCTCAGACGATATAAAAGATGAGTTCTACATGAAACTTTCTGACCTTCTCCGAGAAGCGTTCTGATGTAATAGTGGCAGGTGACTTTAATGCTCAAGTAGGTAAATTCAGTGAAAGGGAAAGACACCTGGGTGGATCTTATGGTGTCATAGCGAAAAGAACAGATAATGGCGACCGTCTGTTGCAGCTATGCTCAGATAACCGCCTATTTCTTGCAAATACTAACTTTAAGCATAAGGAAAAACATCTTTTGATATGGCGACCCCCGAATTCGTCCCAACGTTGGACCCAATTAGATCACATCGCCATCAGCCACCGATGGAGGGGCTCGATAGAAGACTGTCGATCATTCTGGAGCACATGTTTAGATTCAGATCATGCTCTAGTGCGAGCACGTATCTGTCTGCGTCTTACTGGTCGTAGGAAAGACACTGCAGGGAAGCCTCTAAGGGTTCTACTTAATGATAGGCAAGCTAAGAATATATTTCAGGAACAACTAGAAAAACAGTTAGGCAGCCATGCAAGTTGTGTCCACCCCGAGGCAGCGTGGAATGACATCCAAAAAGCTGTGGAATCAGCAGTGATATCCGCTAGTAAGGTAAACCATAACGTTAGGGAGAAACAATGGATCTCAGAAGCATCTACCGCACTGATAGATGCTCGAAAACTCATCCCACCTGGCTGTGAACATAACGAGGAGCGGAGTCAACTTAAGCGCAGGCTTATAAGAAGCCGAAGTAATGATCGTGAACAGTGGTGGGTAGCGAAAGCAAGAGAGATGGAAAAGGCAGCTGCAATAGGTAACAGTAGGCAGCTATTCAGACTCGTTAAAGAAACCGGTATTAGGAACCCGAATATCAGTGAAATCATCTCAGATAAAGATGGGCATATTATTCATTCTCAATCCAGGAGATTGGATCGATGGGCGGAACACTTTAGGGATCAGTTCAACTGGCCTTCAGCCACACTTCAATTACCCACGATCCCCAGTCGTCCTGAATGGCAAATTGATGTAAGTCCTCCAACCCTCAGCGAGGTTGAAAATGTTATAGGAAATCTGAAGCGAGGGAGAGCAGCAGGACTTGACAGGTTGTCCCCTGAGATTTTTAAGGATGGTGGTCCAGTACTAGCAGTGAGATTGACTGAAGTCTTAGGTAGAATCTGGGAACTGGACGTAATTCCATCTGACTGGTCCCAATCACTGATTATGCCAGTCTATAAGAAAGGACAAAAGTCCTCCTGTGACAATCACAGAGGGATCAGTTTGACTAATATAGTGTCTAAAATATTAGCTTCAATAATACTAGGTCGCCTAACCAAAGCTCGTGAAGAGCAGACTAGAGAAAACCATACTGGTTTTCGACCTGGACGTGGTTGCATAGACCAGATATTCACCCTACGTCAGGTCCTAGAACATAGACACAAATTCAGACGTCCCACAATAGTAGTATTTCTTGACCATAAGGCAGCATTTGACTCCGTTGATCGTGAGGTTCTATGGCAGTGTTTGTCACTGAAAGGAGTACCAAAGAAGTACATTAACCTTATAAAGGCTCTCTACTCGAACACAACTGGTCGGGTTAGAGCCTATGGCGAACTGTCATCAGAACTGATTACCTGAAGTGGCATTCGTCAGGGCTGTCCACTCTCTCCATTCTTGTTTAACTTTGTCATTGACATAATTTCAGAGATAGCACTTCATCATCTCAATCTCCAGGAGTTGAACTTTTACCAGGAGGCTCACTTGTGGACTCAGAATACGCCGACGACATAGTTTTATTTGGTGAAGACGCTGACAACATGCAGTCTTCTGACCACTATAAGCAACTATGCAGGCATGTTCGGGATGCGATTCTCTCCCTCGAAGTGCAAAATGTCAATTCAGGATTGGGTTGCATCGACACCTGAACTAATGATAGGGAGTGAAGCAGTTGAACGTGTTGACAGCTTCACTTATCTTGGGAGTCTCATCAGCCCTTGTAGTCTGGTGTGTGACGAAATCTCAGCACGGATACAGAAGGCTCGTCTAGCTTTCGCCAACTTGCGTCATTTATGGTGTAAGCGAGATATCCGTCTAGCAACCAAAGGACGGGTTTCTGTGCAGCAGTTCGCTCCGTCCTACTCTATGGCAGTGAAACATAGCCAATAAGAGTAGAGTATATTCGTAAGCTACTAGTGTTCGATCATAGGTGTCTTCGAAGCATTGCTCGTATATCCTGGGACCACCGGGTAAGTAATGCAGTTGTTAGGAAACGAGTACTAGGTAGGGATGGCAAATCGATTGATGAAGTAGTGAAACTTCATCAGTTGAGATGGCTGGGACATGTGTTACGTATGCCCGACCACCGACTGCCCCAACGTGCAATGTTTCATGGTGTAGGAGTAGGTTGGAAGAAAGCTAGGGGTGGCCAGACCAAGACGTGGCACAAATCCATGAAGTCACTGACAAGTGGACTGAGCCATGTTGGTAGGTGTGGACTACCTGGTTGGGATTCGCGAGATGATAGCAACCGATGGTTAGAGACCTTGAATGACATGGCTCAAAATCGTTTGCAATGGCGAAGGTGCATCCACTCTTTGTGTTCTGCCAAATTCTAGTCTTCTGAATTCTTCATGTCCCTATCCTTTTTCTCTTTTCAAATTTATTTCACTGTACTATTCTCCTTCAATAA